GTGGTGGTTGTTCTTGATTCTTTTTTGTATGATTTTTACTTGTTCAGACTGAATAAACTCACAGATATTACTATCAACAATAGAGTATAAATGTGTTAACAACCATAGAATCCAAATTTGCTATCATTACTGGATCTTAACGTTATTAGAAGAAATTATAATAACAACGTGTATTATAATGCATAACATGATAATTGAAGATGAACATGACTTCAACGCACCAATTAAAAATGCAAGGCCAGCGCCATAAGCAACAGTTGAAATGACAATAAATAATAATACTCGATTTCAATAGTATTTATTTTATAATTTACAAGTAAAAATAAAAAACTCATTTATCATTTCAGAATGCGTTGATTAATCATATCTGGGAGCATTATAGAAATAGTTTTGGTTGAATATGTAGTAATTTATAATTTAGTTTGTGTATTTTAACTATTATGTTTATGTAATTTATTTTATTATAAAGTTTATAGTTAATGATATTTTTAATGTATGTTTTTTTGTTATTTATAAAATCATATGATTTCAATTAATAATAATTAAAAAATAAGGAATATAATGTAATATTTTAAATTTTATGAAAATTAGATTTAACATTTAGTATTTAGAGACAAACACCATCAAACTTCAAATTTGAGGTTTTGAGATGCTGTAGCGGTTGTGAGTATTTCAATGGAACTTCAAAACCAGAGAACACCATCAAATTTAAGTCGCTTTTGCTTGAATCACATATTCTATGAGTAATTACCTCCCGTCTGTAATTTACTAGAACTGGAAAAGTTGGCTCCTTTGATATTATTGAACATTCAGAATCACATCACGAGTTAGTGAATTTATCAAACAAATATTTAATTGTATGCAAAGATATACTAATAAGTGTATGCAAAGAAACAACATTCGCCAAGATTCATGGAAGCATCCGCTGCGTGAGAGAAATATAGCAGCCGAAAGCAGATCATTCGGGTTGTTCTTCAGATTGCTCTATCTCTAGCTTCTGCAAGGAAAAGAAACATGCATTCTTAGTAAGATACAGAAATGTTCATAAAATGGCTTTAGCTTTCGACAAGACATTAACAAAGGTAAATATCAGCAGCTGAATTCCTAAAGAAAGTGAACTAGACAAAAAAAAGGTAAACAAGAAAAAAAGATTTAGTTGTGTGCTTATAGCTTATAGCAACCTAATGCACACAATTGCTCTGATAAGCCAAGACACAGTGGACAAGAATGTAATGATTTAGTTGATTGGCTGGAGTAATTCAGCTAATAGGTTTAGGCTTATATATTAAGAGTGCAGAAGTTGTGGTCGGTTAGAGAGCAGTTAGTGAGTACTAGGCTTATAAGTTTGTCTCTGGAGATTGTTTAGTCTGTGGGGGTTTTTTCTAGGGTTTAGTTAAGTTTTTGGTTGAGAGAGTCTCTCTCGTTTATTGAATAGAATACGAGCAGGAATACAGCTTCATTTCTTATCATGCTCCTAACTCAATCATCTCAAATCTGCAGTGTAAGCGTAACATCTTGCATCCTATCACAAGGCGGATTAGTTCCGTTCCTATCTGTTTGAGATATATATATAGGGACTTGGAACGCATATATCTAACAGACCAACACTAATTTTCCTACAAACCCAAAACCATATATAAAATCTTGCTGCTAGAAAGATAAAGACCTCAACACAGTTGATCTAAAGCATTTGATTCATTTCTTTCATTGTATAGCATTAGTATCTGAACCAATAATCTCCCAAATCCCGGAGATGTCATTTTTCAGATAGACAACATTGTAAATCATCAGAAATTTCCAAATCATAATTATAAACCCTTCTTTACTATGTCAAACAAGACTCTCTGTTACTGCACTAAAACGTTGTTTTATCAGAGACAAGAATCAAATGAATAGTCATGTCTAATATCCATTAAAAAATCAGAACGCATGCCCTAAAATTTAGAACTCCGATCAGCAGCAATCAAATCAAAGAACGTTTGTACAAAATTATTGGATCATGATCAGTTGAAACGACCGACATAAATCTACAAGATATGGATACAAGTGTAAAGAGATGGGAGAGCGAAGAGAGAAAGAACATACAGATTGAGCGTTGTGCCATGAGAGGCCACGGTAGACATTAGCGGAGAAAGTGGCGGTGAGGTAGATGGTGGCGAGCCCTAGCCCCGCCGTGAATGCCTTGAACGACCAATCTCCAGCTTTAGTCACTATCCCCATCTCTCTCTCTCTCTCTTCTCTCGGCGGCGTCGCGAAACTATGTCCCAGTCTTCTCTTCTTTTTCAACTCCCACCGTCTTATCGGACCGGGAATTTAATGTCCGGTTTACTTAATGCTTCGATTTTGAAAGGCATTTCTTCAGCTTTATTCAAAATTGATTCGGTTCGGTTTGGTTTTTGGGTTATTTTACGATTTAGTGTTTGACGTACTTTACAACTCGTAATGATCGACGTATTTCACAGTCCGACTAAACATCTTCAATGTAAGAAAACAGTAAACATTTCTCATAATCTGATAGAAAAATTCAGAGTACTATGAGGTAAAAGATGATGTGGATGACTCTGAAAACATCATATTTTATACATGAATCGATATAAACACGTTTTCGAACATCTCACATTAGTTTTCTTTTCACAGCTACAAAAAAAAAAAGAGAAGCTTAAGTTAGTGCAGTGATAGAAGAGAAGAAGCTGCTAATTCCATGGACTCTGTAGCCGTGTTTCTCTGAAAACAGAAGTGCCACCAGAACCAGCTGGTGAAGGAGATGAAGCTATGTAGTTTGTTCCTGTTGCAGAAACAGTGACTGCTGCTGCTGCAGAACTCGGATTCCCAGGACCTACTCGCGGGCTCCATCGAGAAGGATGCGGAACCTGAGAAACAGCAACAACAACAGTCAATCATACACACGAACGCACAAAATGCAAATTTAAGCAAAGAAGAAATATGTGGACACTGGTGAGAGTATATGATGATTTTACCATATTGTGTTGCGAAAAGGCAGCTGCTCTTCTGAGAGGAGACTCAGATGATGAAGAAGCTCCGCATAGTCGAAGAACAGTGCGAGTTTGAGCATTATTATGGTTTCCTGCATCGTCGGTTTCTCCGCCTTCCATGTGAGCACCAGCATTATTACCTCCTGAGTCATTAGAGACATCCACATGGAGTGGAAGAGAAGGACGAGTCGCCGTTGTTCCTTGTTGCTGCAGGATGCTGCGCCTTTTTAGTTCTTCCTCCGCATTCAAAATCTGTGTATCCATTAATTTGATGATAAATATCTATTGGTATAGCGGAAACACGATAACAGAGAGAAGATCAGACACTCTGCACTTACCTGCTTAAGCACTTGGACTAGATTGTGTTTCTTTGCATTCAACACTTGTAACCTCTCCTCCACTTCTCTCTGTTTTTTCTCTATTTCGCTTGGTACTTCTTTAGCTGTTTCATTTGCCTGGTGAGAAACAATAAAGCTATACGATAAGAGTAAAACTGATTGGTGTCATCTAAAACAGGAAAACGCAACGATCTCATAGAAATCTACAGTTACGAGCTCATGAAGCGGAATTGGTAAAACTATTTGCAGCTGATTGTTTCGTCTATAGACTCATTGCATCACAACATCAAGCAAAGCGACTTAAACTACTTGAATGCACAACTCAAAGAACTGACCATGGCGGATTCGCTTACACAATGGGTTTTCTACAATTCAACAAATCTGCCTCTTAAATTGATGAATTCACCTAAAATTGACCAAGCTTTCCCAATCTTCCTATGTACTACACCGAAATCACCAACATTTCCTCAATGAGCATGATGATTCGAATCTCAAATCAGCTAATTTGTACTCAAATTCCATCGGAAAGTTTCAAAGAGGTTAATATAAAAGAAATAACAATACCTCGGCCTTTTCTTTCGCCGCGTCCTCGTGTGGCACATTCTCGGTTTCCTGATTCGATAGCAATTCCGTCACTCTCCCAGAACGATCTCCACCGTCCGATCCACCTAGTCGAGCTACTTGGAAGCCATCAAATCTGTCATTATCATCTCCCCTAACTCGATTCACACCAATCTCCTCTCTCTTCACCTCAACAAGCTTCTGCTTCCCAGACGAACCGGGACGTTCAGACGGAATCGCATCCTCCTGATTTGTAACCAGCTCAGTTTTGACGTTAAGGCTCAGGTTAGGGTTCGAGGTAAGGGATAGACGAGAAAGAGCTCGTTTACGGCGATGAAGGAGAGATTTGAAGTCCTTGACAGAGAGATTACGGTCCGGCATTATCCACCGGCGAGGCACGTCGGGAACTTTGTGAAGGTTGCCTCTATACATCGATATCGCCACCATCTTTTTCTGGGGCTCCGTTCGTCGAATTCGCCGTTTCGTTCTGCTAACGTGTTCATAAGACAATGGGAATTCGACTTGCATAACGTTTCCGTTTTGGAGATGAGAAACATGTGCCGTTTTAAAGTATTCACAAACGACGAATTTGGGCCGAAGCCCATACATATGTATTTTGAATCCCATTTACTTTCCAAATTGAAATGAATAACATTTGAAATAAAAAAGTATAATATCTAACACATATGTGATAATTACTATTTCAATAATAAATAAAATTTGAAATATTCCACATCCTAAGACTGTAATTAGATGCGATAATTGTCTGCAAAAATATGGTGAAAAGCTGAACTTCTGAATTGTGTCCATAGATGATTTACTAAATTGTTTGGGACTAATTCTTTTTCATATATTTTGTTCCTTGCGTAATTTTTTTTCTTCCGTGATGATATGAATAATAAGAACTAAATATTGCATCATGAGATTTTAATACTTTTATACTTTATTTTGCTTGATTCATGATTTTCTTTTTATTTTAGTAAATAAACGTTGATCGAATTTTAGAATTAAAAATATATAAAAAAGCAGAGAGCTTTGAAAGTTTATTTGGTTTTGACATATGTCAAAAGACACATAATTATAAAAACAAAATAACGTGAATCAAGCTTCTAAAATCAGAAGCATAAAATGGATGATATACCCAAAAATTGCACATAAGTTTTATCCAATGTGTGTTCGGCACTTTAGAATCAGATTTTGTTTGACATATGATCTTTGTCCACCATAAAATACAAATTATCAATCAACAGCTGTAGTAAAAATAATAAAAACAATTGATACATATTCAATGTATCATGTTGATCCAACCAATGAATCATTTGAAAATCATTTCACTCCATTGACTTATTACAACTTTCACAAACACAATTCCCAACACAAACTACTGACAATTACATGTTCTTGACCACTATTATCTTGCAAACACCTAGTACAAGAGACCTCTTTCAAATGGACTTTCAGGAGGGTTTATCATCGTTGTTTGTCACTCGTAAAAATCTTATTCCATAGGCTCCTTGTTTGTCGGCTCCTTGTTTGTTGGCTCCTTGTTTGTCGGCTTCTTGTTTGCCGGCTCCTTGTACGTCGGCTCCTAGTACATCGGCTCCTAGTACGTCGGCTCCTAGTACGTCGGCTCCTTGTACGTCGGCTCCTTATACGTCGGCTCTTTATACGTCGGCTCTTTATACGTCAGCTTTTTGTACGTCGGCTCCTTCAACAGCTACCTCAGATACATTTTGATCCACTTTTTAGAGTTTATTAGCGTCAAATTTTGAAGTGATAAAGAGAGCAATGCTCGCATTAACTAGAGAGAAGATGAGAAAAAGATGATTTTAGAGATGAGAAATGTCTGAGAGGGAGAGTAAGTATATATAGAAAAAGAGGAAAAACCATTTGGTGCGATATAATCAATGTAGTTCAACATTACGAGAATCCTGCTGAGAAGATAACAGTCACATCTTTCCCCTAAACCATTGTCTTAGATTATGAGAGCATTAACTGACGTAAGACTAGTAAAACTACCAACACTACTTTATCTTTTTATCGTTATATTAATTATGTGATAGATGTATCATGTCCAACATCTGATGTGACCGTTCCATCTTCCATCTATTCAACGCGTTTATATTAATTACACATTATTTTAATAATTTTAACTCGAAATAACTTTCTCTCTTTCTCGGAAGTAAATGATGAGTTGCCAAATAGGAAAAAAAAAGTTGCCAAATAACCCTAGAAGTAAATGCGGGTATTATTCTATCTAAAAATTATTAACAAAATGATTTAATTTTTAACTAAACCTTGCTTGTTAATATATTGTACAATTCTGTTAAAGCGAATATAACATTAAATATTATTGACTATTATATTAATTTAGGATTTTCTAATTTACATGTGATTACACCAAATAATACTAAGTTATTCTACTTTAGGATTTTCTGATTATTTAATACTAAGTTATACCAATTTAGGGTTATCATCATTGAATTGGAAACACAACAGTGGTTGCAATGTTTTAATAATAATAGCGGTTGTTTTTTCCAATATAATTATGATTAGATGCGTTTATTCGACGAGACTACTCATTTCTCCATTATTGTTCACTACTTAAAGGGTTTAGATCTTCAATTTTTATTTCTCAAATTTATCACTTTCTCCTACGTCAGACTCCATCACTTTCATCTGTTAGTTTTTATTCTAAATCCACATAAAGAGTTACCATGGCAGAGTACTTGTACCTACTAGTCCTACCAGAAAAAATACTAGGAAAAGTTTTGGCAGCGACAGTTGGATGAACTAATCCGGACTCGTTTTGTTTGTTAGAGATTCAACGTCTGCACCAGAAGCTTTGGATTCAACGCTGAAGTTGACCCATTGACATAGGTCATCACAAGGATCAAGATGTCCATCAAGTCATTAATATTTTCAGAGGGTTCTGCACCAGAGACCTTGGATATACATTATACTTGGCATGTCAACATTATACTGGCATTGACAGTTTTTTATTTGGCGAAGCTGTGAAGTTTTAGGTATTGAAAAAAAAAAATGAAACTATTACTTTTCGATAGTTAATAAGAAAAATAGTTTATTTGTTTTTTGCTAAAATTTTTAAAATAAAGCTTTTGGAAAATAGAAGAGTTCCAACACAATTTAAGTTGAATAAATGTATTAAAAAAGTTTTGACTATAACGGTGGTTTTCTGGAAACATCAGCAAATCCAGCACTAGCAAGAGTTAACTACTTTTGCTCTCTTTTTAGTTTTGAATTTTCTTAAGAAAGTTCTTCATCTTAGCATTTGGTTTCTAAAGACTCCTCCAAAAACTATTTGAAGTTTTAAGCGTGAGAAATTCGTTATCATTGATTGATTCATTCGCGCTCGTTTCCAAAAGAACCTCGAGTAAGAAGATTAAGCGGCAATAAGAAGAGAAAAGTAACAAGAATGAGGAACCCAAAGTTATCAAAACTAGAAAAATCGGAGAAATTCACCATTTTCATGTCGCTCAACAAGAAGAAATCGGTTCAGATACTAATGGTGGTGTGTGTATTGTACATGCTTCTGGTCACGCTCGAAATCCCTGTCGTCTATAGAACCCGGTTCAATACCTTATCGCAGGATACGTTAACCCGACCCCAGAAGCTCGGTAGCGAGTAGGATCTACAAGAGAGACGAGCTCCAGGACGTCCTTTCAAGAGTTTGATCTACAAAGAAACAGAATCGGAAGCGCCTACTCGTGCTCTGATTGCAGAACAGAGAAGAACGGCGCAGATCATATCCAGGTTGAAATTTGACCCGGAAACATTCGACCCAAGTAGGAAAGACGAGTCCTTGGAGCTTCATGAATCGGCCAAAGTAGCTTGGGAAGTTGGTAGAAAACTATGGGAAGATCTGGAATCTGGAAAAACCTTAAAAACCTTGAATGAAGAGAAAGAGATCACTGAGAAAGATGGATCAAGGTCTTGCCCGGTCTTAGTTTCTTTATCCGGGTCGGATCTTTTAGCCTGTAGGAACGTCATTGAGCTTTCTTGTGGGTTAACGCTGGGATCACACATCACGGTGGTGGCAAAACCACTTGCTGCATAATCAGAAAATGATCCAAAGGTATTAATTTTGAATGAAGAAGATGAAGCTGTGAAGGTTTCACGGTTTATGTTGGAGTTGCAAGGCTTGAAGGCAGTGGAAGGTGAAGATCCTCCAAGGATTCTTCACTTCAATCCAAGGCTTAAGGGTGATTGGAGTGGTAAGCCCGTGATTGAGCAGAACACTTGTTATAGGATGCATTGGAGCTTGGCTCAGCGATGTGAAGGCTGGAGATCTAGTGATGATGAAGAAACAGGTGAGTCAAAACTTGAAAAGCATTTGAATTCTCAGTGCTGTTTTGCTGGTTAGAGTTGCTTGTGTTATAGACAAACGACCAGATTGATCTTTGTTTTTACAGTTGATGGTCAGGTTATGTGCGAGATTTGGATTCGAGAAGATAGTGATTCTTCTAAAGAAGAGACTAAAAAGGCAATATGGTGGCTAAGTCATTTCAGACGCTGAAGTAAGAAAGTAACTGTAGAATGGCCATTTCCATTTACTGAGGACAAGCTCGTCGTGCTTACACTAAGTGCTGGATTGGAGGGTTATCATGTTAGTGTTGATGGGAAGCATGTCACATCTTTTCTTTTTCGTACTTTAAGTGTTGAGTAATGCCATTTTAGTTTCAAACCAAACCAGTTGGAATCCAAAGAAGTTGTTAGAACAGTAAAAGCAGAAAGTGTTGTTAAGCTATGTTGTTTAGAGTCTAATTAAGGTTAGTGGGAATAGTTGAAGTTAGGTGGATGTCAGAGAATAGTTGTTGTGTTTTGTTTGTATAAGTCGATGAGAAAACAATGTAAGAGAGGATCATCATTATGAAATGAAGTATGAATTTATATTATCTCTAAAACATTATTTCTTTACATAAAAGCTATGTCAAGACACAAGCTATAAATACTCTGTTTCTAAGCATCTCAACATGATATCAGAGGTCATGATGATTCATGGAGACTCTTTGAACAAGACAAAGATTGCAGATCAAGAAGGTCCGAAAATGAAGAAAACAAAAATCAGAGAAACCGGTGGAAAGGTTCAAGAAATTGACATGAACAAGATGGTGATCGAAGAAGAAGACACCAAAAACAGAAAGAAAAGAATGCAGACGTCTCAGGAACATGATGAAAAAGAGGAGAATCACATGTTCACTGCAAGACAAGAAGAAGAAGAATCAAGTAAAGAGAATACTTGGCTCATAGATAGTGGATGTACAAATCACATGACGCCAAATAGGAACATGAATTTCAAACAAACATTAAAGTTCCTATAAAGGTTGGAAATAGAGTTGTGGTAATGGCAGAAGGAAAAGGAGACATCGAGGTGACAACCAAGAAGGGAAAGAGAATCATAAAAGATGTTTTCTTAGTACCTAAACTTGGAAAGAATCTTCTAAGTATTCCGCAGATGATCACAAATGGATACAAAGTCATCTTTCAAGGAAGCAACTGCATCATTC